TTTATTGTGTATTCTGTCACTTTGAAGTTGTTTGGTATTAAAATAATTACCTGTCGTTGTTTTGTCTCAAGGCTTCTTTAGGTACAACAAAGTACTGCAGTTATTTTCTCAAAAGCATGCAGTGTCCTAAACCAGACTGCATGTATTTACATGAACTGGGGGATGAAGCGGCTAGTTTTACAAAAGAAGAAATGCAGGTGAGCGCATATGTGTTTACACTGCAGATCAATCAGTTGAGACGGCGTCAATACATAAATTACATTTACAACATTTTTTGCTGTCTGTTTTTTTTTTTTTTTTATCTGGATATTGTTCGGCTACTATGTGTAAATTGTTTTTAGGCTGGGAAACATCAAGAGTATGAACAAAAATTACTCCAAGACCTTTACAAATCGAACCCCAACTTTTTACAAACCTCAGCATGTGGAGAGAAGTCGAAGAGCAAACCCAATTCCACTCAGAGGTGGTGTTTTTATCCTGAATTTCATTGCTGCACACACCCAGTCAGATGAACATATTCATATTTTTATAATTGAAATTGAAAGTTGCTTTATTTTGCGTTATGTTCTATAATTAACTAAATAATAATTAATTTCTTAAAATGTATAGAAAGAAATACACGGTACCATTGAAAAGTTTGTGGTCAGTAAGAGTTTTTGGTAAAAGTGTAAAAGTGTCTCATCAAGGCATTTATCTGATCAAAAATACAATAAAAATAATAATTGTGAAATAATACAATTTAAAAATATTTTTTAAAATCTATTTTAATATAATGTAGTCCTTGTGTTTTAAATATATTTACTCCTGTGATGGCAAAACTGAATTTTCAGCAATCCCAATTTGCTGATCAAGAAATATTTCTTATTGTTATCAGTGTTGAAGACAGTGCTGCTTAATATTTTGTAGAGACTGTGATATATACATATTTCTTTGATGAATAGAAAGTTCAAAAGAATGGCATTTTATTTGAAAATTGATTATTTGTAATTATAAATGCCTGTCACTTTTGATCAATTTAATTCATCCTTGCTAAATAAAAGTATTAATTTAAACAAAAATATTTCTGACCCCAAACTTTTAAATGGTAGTTTATAAATTCAATTTTTAGAAGTGCATATATTCAATCTTTGAGAAGTGTGATTTTCATTTTCAACTTTAGCATTTTTTTTTTTTCTTAATTTTTTCAGACCCAATAGTACCAATAAAGAAGGGTGGCCCTCATTACAGAACTATGGGAAAATGGTTAACGGTTTAACCACAGAGCATCGCAAGTCCCCTCCTCTTTTAGACTGCCTAACAGACTCAGACCACATGACTCCAGATGAACCAGACCCTGAACAGGGAACAGAACAGAACACAGGCCTTCCACCTTTCCCATCAGCCTTAGAGCCTACCAGGTACTGTACTGCAGAAGCCTAGCCAATAGTAGCTTTGATATTCAGCAATATACAATGATTTTTCTTCCTGTGTGTTTTGCTGCGTGCTTATCACACTGTGCTTTCATTTCAGTCCAATTGGCAAACAATCAGAATCCATAAATATAGGAAATGGGGAAACTATATCACAGGTAAGTTCTAAAAAACTATTGAATCTCTAAGAATAGTTATTGTGGGTTTGTTTTATTCATTTTTTTGATCCATCTGTCTGCATTTGGTTTGACAGACATCCAGTAGCGATTCCCCATCTCCTCCACCTGGCCTTACTAAACCCAGCCTCGTTGTGCCCATCAGCGTGGCCAAACTCACAGCGCGCTCACCCTTCGAGGGGGCGGCAGCAGAGTCTCAATCTCTTTTCTCAGACAACAGCAATTTCAGACATCCCAACCCCATCCCCAGCGGCCTGCCTCCCTTCTCCAGTTCACCACAGGGAGCCTCTGACTGGCCCATGACTCCAGAACCACAGAGCCTTTTCACCTCAGGTAGGCGTGTGCAGTGAATGCAGTGTAGTGGGATTTTGGAGCAATAAGATTGCAGTGTGGGCGGAGCTAATCGGATAAGCCCATCAATCTCTCTTCCTTTTTGCAGACACTATCCCAGTGTCGTCCTCTACTGATTGGCAGGCGGCCTTCGGTTTTGGCTCTTCGGCCAAGCAGCAGCAGCAGCAGCAGGACGATGACCTCGGCTTTGACCCATTTGACATCACACGGAAGGCCCTGGCCGACCTCATAGAGAAAGAGCTGTCAGTCGAGGAGCATTCCCCCCTCTCTCCCAATCCCTCTTCCCACCAGAGGCGCCTTCCTCACCTCCAGCACAGAGGCCTCTATAACTCCTTCAGCCTGCCCCAACACATGGCCGCACGCCACCCCTGGATGGGCCTCCCCACCCGCAATAACCTCACACACTTGAACCACACGGCCTCAGCTGCGCACAGCCATTTCTTAGACCTGAGCATGCCGGCCCAGCACCACAGCACTGGCCTTGGGGGGATTCCTATATCAGGTTAGGGGATGCATCTGTCTCGTGTGCTCCAGTTTTTTTGTGAAACACCTGTGTGTGTGTGTGTTAAAACACCTGGTCTAAGCAGGGCTACAGTTGTAGCCCACTGATCCAAATACAAACAAGTGGTTGAACTCATTCCCAGTATGTTTATTGTTTTATTTTGCACCTTGATGGCTAATTCAGATTTTTTCTGAAGTCTGGTCATCTTCAGTGTTGTTATTAACTAAAACTATTAAAAATTATTTCTGTAATTGAAAAAAAGCATAAATAAAATTTAATTAAACACTTAAACTTAAGAAATGTTGCTTTGGCAACTAAAATAAGTAAAAGTGACTTCCAAATGGACTAAAACTGAAACATAAAGCTAAATATAAATATTTTTAAAAAGCACAACAATATTACTAAATTAAAATTAAAACTGAAAATATTTTATAAAGCTATTAATTAAAATAAAAATGTATATAAATAGCTTATAATAAATACTATAATAGTATAGATTAATACTAAGATAGCACTGGTCATCTGTATCCGGTTTTTTTTTTTTCTTTGTTGATTATCCCATTTAACATAAAAATTGCTTTCAAATGTCATTTTCATGTAGATGTAAGGATACCACAGAGTTTCAATTCTCATTTTTTTCATTAATTTCAGAAAACAATGGCTCTGTAGAAAGTATAAATGTGAAAGAGTGGCAGGACGGACTGCGAGCACTCCTACCAAATATCAACATCAACTTCGGAGGCCTCCCGAACTCTACCTCTTCCTCCTCCTCTTCCTCCACTTCCAGTGTGAACCACATCGGGGTGCCGGTAGGCTCGACTGGAGTCTCGCACAGCCTCAGCTGGGACAGTACGGCCAGTTGGATGGATCCCGCCATCATCACAGGTGTGATTTGTGTTTCGTAAACCCTCTGCACACGGATAAACCCTTCATCTCTAATAGTACTCATTCATGTCCCTTTTCAAACTCCAGGTATCCCAGCATCTACAGGCAACAGTTTGGACTGTCTCCAGGATGACAATCCGCCACACTGGCTCAAGTCGCTGCAGGCACTCACAGAGATGGACGGACCGCCCAACTCCAGCGCACTCCCACAGCCCCCGCACACCGGCCTCCTAGACGCGGCGGCCCAACTCTCCTTACACAGAGCCGCCTGGGCCCCTTACCTCCCTCCTCCCACACTAACCCCAAGCCAGTTCCACTCCCCACCTCCAGGCTTTCAGACAGCCTTCAGACCCCCAGTGCAGACGGCCACAGACATCCTACAGAGTGCCGGTATTGACCGTCACTAAAGACAACCCTCTCTCGATTTAACTGCATCACAAATATGAAACCGCAAATATACCCCTTCCATTAATAACATAACATAAGCTCTTGTCTTTCTACCATTTCGCTCTCCATCCCTTTCCCAACAGATTTTTTTTGTCTGTTGTCAGTTTTTTTTTTAAGGCACACATATGATGAGTATGATGAGTATGATGAACACCCTCAGTGCAGGGTAATGATTGAGACGGACACTGAGGGTCCTAACACATATATACACACACACACCTTCACATATGATTCTGGGAAAAATAAAAGTGTCTGACACTGAAATGTGCAGAGGAAACCGTGAGCACTGATGTGTACATGTGACTAACAATGGCTAAATGGAATGTGCTTAAACGAATAACATGTCTGATTTGCGTCACTCTATCCAAGGTACAGACTGTAATTTAATACTGTGAATCTTTACACTTCCCGTAAGTTAGGTCTCACCACCATTTGAAGGAAATGGATTATAAGATAAATCTATGTAATGCTCTTGACTTCTTACACGTTTAATGTTTACGAAGCCAGAGCTGAGATGTTTGAGTGCATTTGTAGAATCCAAACCCTGGTCCTCATTAGAAGGGACTCCATTAATCACAGAGTAGTACCTTCTCTAATCTTAGGCTGGGGTCCATTTTGGATTCAAGGGTTTGCCTAAGCATCTTTGGGCAAGCATGGTGGTGTGAGACCTGACATGCCACTACACAATGTCTACAGTAACTTCATTCCCATGAAGGGAGGTGAGAAAGACCACTATGGAAGTGTTTATTGGCTTGCCTATAGAATAAGCCTTTCATACAAGGTATGAATTAGGAATCAAGTCTGGAACCTTTGGAAGGATGGTGATGGTAACAAAGGAGACGTGTCTAGGCATGATTGCAGATAAAATGAGTGTTGAAAGCGTGAAGACAGGCACACACACTAACATGCCACCATTCCAAGGCCTTCAAATGATTTCTACTCTCTTTCTCATGTGTGGCCATACTAAACAGTATTTATCAAATGCAATCACTCATTCTTTCAGGAAAAAAATCAATGTAGTCCAACATTTGGGTTTAACATGCTGCTGAGATCATTTAATACAAAATAAAGCGCTAAAAGAGAAGAATTGACCCCTTTTCTGCTGGTCTGGAACAGTGAAATCTTAAATAAAATTGAGTATTCATTGTCTCTGTTTGATTCTCTTTTTTTCTAATGTGTAGTTTGAGTAGAAACAGTAGGGTTGTAGGTTTTTTTTTTTTACATGAGGCATTTTATTGTCCAATGAAGAAATTATTGACATTGAAAACATCTACAAGGCATGAAATTCATGGTAATTATACATCGGAAAGGTCTTGGAAACTCGTTTTGAAATTCAAACACGATCTACTGAACACAAAGACAAACACCAAGAACTGCTTCACCAAGGACATGCTGAACTCATGTCAGGAAGAAAGCTTTTATACAACTGTACAAATGTGCTTTTATAACAGATTCTTCTTTTTGCACATCATTTGAGAGTCTCGACAGACATGGCTTGTCACCTTCCAGCACAAAATGTCTTTCAACAGCCTCCGTGCTTTTAATACCCATGACGAAATCTATGAACAAGTTTATGTCAATGTACAAAGTGTCATGTGAAGCTTTAGCACACCGTTCCATTCTCCATGCGAGTCTTAGGACAGGAGGTACGGGATTGTGGGGGAGGCTGAATCGATGGTGCCAGGGTGCAGAAGAACCCAGCTATGAGGGTCAGTCCTAGTCCTCCCCAGGCACTGAACATGGACCAGCCGTAACCATGGCTTATATCATCTGGGAGGCTGAAGAGATAACGTGGGTAGCGAGACAGTTCAAAGTTGATGCCAGCCACACAGGTGCAAAGAGAGATTATGCAGAAGGTACCTGTGGAGGGGCATAATACTAGTTAGTAGATGTTTAGAGATCAGGCACCATGCCAATGAATTTTTAAGATGATAAAAGAGGAGGAAATCACATACCTCCCATAAGGAAGAGCAGACCGGCAACATAATGCATGAGGCCTTGCTCCCAGCAACAGCCCAAAACACCAATGGTCCAGCCAAATAGGATGATGGATAGAGCCATGCCCATGAAGCCAGCTGTCATCCGACGCAAATCTGGAGAAGGACCAAAATTACTTGGGGTGTCTAATATTGCTCCTAGAGGGCCACCTTCTTTCAGAGTTTAGCTGCAACCTGAAGCAAGTTTCTAGTAATCCTGAAGATGTTAATTAGGTTCCAGCTAAACTATACAGGAAGGTGGGAACTCTAGGAGAAAGATTTGATACCCTTGCTTTAAACTCTACCTCTATATCAAATACATTCATATGCAGGGCCTTCATGTGCCCAGGACAAAATTTGTTAGGGTAGGCAACCCTTATTGAGGTCCCAATGAGTACACTACACCATAGTAAGAGGGCCCGGGATATCACTGATGCAGACCGAAAAGAATAAGTCCCACTTACGCAGGGCATGCCAATCATCTTGCTGGATAGTCTTGGTGATATTGTAGGAAAGATCCTTTCGTGTCACTGCAGAGGAGTAATAGTACTTTATAAAGGAGCAACGCTCGACAGTTCCTGGAAAAACAAGAAAAGCATCATTAGATCCAGACCCAGTATGATAATTAGAACTTGTACACAAGCCCAGCTTAAGCTCAGGCATGTAAGGTGGGCCTGGACAGTTGGGGTGGTGGTTGTCAAGCTCATAATTAGGTGGACCAAGTCCCCTGTGGAGCTGAGCCTTCTTGTGCATATGGACAAGTGTCATGTTTAGATGAGTAAACTACACAGATGGTCGAGTGAGTATTGCTCATCCAGTCTAAATTAGTGGATCTCAATCCAGATCCTGGAGTACTAACATGTTCAGATCTTGAAGCCTCTACTAACGAGCTGATGAAATATATCAAGTGTGTTAAATAAGGTAGACATCCAGAATGTGCATTGATCAGGTACTCCAGGACCAAGCTCAAGGACCACTAGTCCAAACCACTACAATTCATAGAAAACTGAATGTTTATTATTTTCAGAGTTGCTTATGATGTCCAATATTGAGAAAACATCCAAGCAGTTTTTTTGATTAAAATGAATTGACACTTTACTCTGATGCATCCATAGGCCTGCTTATATACATTTAATAGAGATGTCAAGCTTCTAGTTTTAAATGGCAGTTTCCAGGCTCTCATTATTGTAGCATAAAAAAAACATTGCATCAAACCAACACATTCCTGTAAGGCTCAGGTGGATGTTTTTACCTTTTTGTATGAGCTCTTCGATGTCTGGGTCAAATCCCACCCTGTAGCATTTGCTCCACAGCCCCATGCTGGTTGAATTGTAGCGTCTGCTGCACTCATCAGCCGTGCTCATCGCGAACAGCTGACGCCGGTTTCTTTGCAGCAGCAGTCGGTCTTCCCATCGGTCCAGGCTCGCTCGGCTGGCTCGCAGCGGAAGGCTGTGGTTGGGGATGTAAATGAAACCTGGATCGCTCCTGCGGTTCGAGAAAGTTCGGCAACGATCCTTGTATCTCCTCGCGTCCGTCTCGTACCAGTGATCCGATGAGAGTGCGACTGTCAGGAAACACAAGGCGACGAGAGACAGACAGAGACCCGTATATAGAAGCCACTTCCCCGTCGCCATCGTTCTGCCAGGCCGCCGATCAGCACCTCATGGTGGACAGCTCCTTCGACCGAGGCAGCGGATCAATCCCGCTTGAGCATCTTTTTTTTCGTGTTAAAAAGGCGAAATGCTGAGGTTGCTGTAAACATGCCCTTTTAAATTAATGAGATACGTCGATTATTACAAAAATCCTGTCTGTTATTTCCTCTAGCCTACAGGTAGACTGTACGGGGGAGCGGGTTCCGCTCTCCCTCTCTGAGCTGCTGCAGGCAGAGACACATGACAATCACACACACAGGAACTGAAAATGATTTAAAAATGGAGGGGGAAATGATTAGTTAAAAATGATCAAACTCGTTCAAATAAATCACTGTAAATAACGATTTCGATTATTTTTAGCCATTTTAGCAAATTGAGCTGTTGGTTTGATTAACCACACTTCATATTCTGTTTCAGACGACACTTTTTCAAACTTATGTTGTTACGATATTGTGTTTTATCATTATTTTGTGGGGCCCGAGACCTTTTTTTAAAGTGATGATTAACCTTCAGACAGTGTTGATGGTCAAAATGTTTTCTATAGGTAGTTGGTCTAAATTCAATTTACAACCCTGATTATATGTCTCCAAAGAGAGAGAGAGAAAGAGAAAACACATTCGTCCATTTAACCCCTTTAAAAAACTAATATTTTCCCATACGTCTTGTGCCTGTTAAACACTTGTGTTATGCATAAAGTTATCAGTACACAGACAAACTATTGTTTGTACAACTGTTAAACATTACAACCAAAACAAGCTCCAAAACAGTCTGAAATTCATGTATAACGTTAATGACAAGTCAGTTTCTGCAGGTTTTATAAAGGTAAGACCAATAAATTAAATGGAACAGAATATGTCAATATGGTGTCAAAATGTAAACGTCTTGTATTGCTGTAGCAACGCTTCCAAGTTTGAAAAAAAATAAATAATAATAATTCAACAAAAATGTTGAATAGCACTGCTCCCAACCACTACTAGAATATTGAAGTAACTTTTAGTGTACTGAAAATGACTGAAGATTTGTAAATCAATACACATTTAGGGCACTTGAGAAGCAAATGACAAGCAGGGTTTGAGAAAATCATCAAAATTAAGAGTTTTTGATTAAACCAAAAACAAATAACTGCCAATGGGCTCAGGAAAATCAACTTAATTAAAAGGGAAAACAAGTTTTCATACCTCATTGACAGATGTTTGTTCTTAAGGATAAATGCATATTTTACATATAAACGTAATATTTTAAATATGCATTTCAACTAAAGGAATCTTGATGTAAAGACGTTTAGATATTTGTATTGAAAATAACATTGCAGTGCATGCAAGATTTAAATGCCATGACATTAACGGGTTAGTTCACCCCAAAATGAAAATTCTGTCATTAATTACTCATCCTCACGTCGTTCCAAACCCGTAAGACCTTCGTTCATCTTCGGAACACAAATTAAGATATTTTTGATGAAATGTGAGAGCTCGACACTGCATAGACAGCAACGCAACTGTAGCCTAATGTTCCCAGGTCCAGCACATCGGCAAAACGGTCCAACAATGCTGATTACGTCGATTACGCTCTTAGGTACTCGACAAAATGGCGGAACACATAACTCGGGGGAGAAGAACTGTGAAATAAATTATTTTTTGTTTTCTTTGCACTCAAAAAGTATTCTCGTAGCTTCGCACAATTGAAGTTGAGCCACTGATGTCACATGGACTGTTTTAAGATGTCCTTACTAGTTTCTGGGCCTGGGAACATTACAGTTGCATTGCTGTCTATGCAGAGTCTGAGAGCTCTCACATTTCATCAAAAATATCTTAATTTGTGTTCCGAAGATCTTACAGGTTTGGAACGACATGAGGGTGAGTAATTAATGACAGAATTTTCATTTTGGGGTGACCTAACCCTTTAAGACATGCTCCAATTTTAGACATTTTTGCCCTTGATTTGACAGGGCAAATTAAGACCCACAAAAACCCTGCAAGTAGTGTTGCATCCAAAATGTTTAATGCACACATAATTGCATTCACAGTACCTGAAAACCAAATTTGATGCTCCAGAACCTGCTGATGCTTCGATCATTCTCCAGAGATACCACACACTCAATAGGCAGCAAAGCAGATTGTATTTGTAGGTGCACATCGTATACATAAGCTGTGTGCTTTAAGGTTAAGATTCGTTTGAATGTACAGTTGTTTAAGAACCATTTGAGCCAATATCTGATAAAATGCAACAATTTTTAAAACATAAATTTCATAGTGTTTAGAAACGCATACTGGCAACATTCATTTAATAGCCACTTTATACAAAACTCAAACATTTACACATTCAACACAAAGTACAAAAGCCAAACACTTCCAGTAGTTATTAAACCGGTTTTATTGAGAGCAAGTCAGTTTATATTTTTCCGGTGTCGTAAAAAAACAGAACAAAAACCGTCACTGCTTTTTACAGGCAGCTTATAGAAAATTAAGCAGGGGGCGCCATCAGACGAACTTCAGGCAGTTTAACAGTGGGGGGGGGGTCACCTTTGCTGCTCTATAGTAAAAAACACGTTTAGAACAAACCAAACACTAGGCAAGACGAGTCAAAAAACAAAAAGCGCGAGGCATGATTCAATCAGAGCACGTACACAAGCACACAAAGCACAATCAAATTGCACCTCGGAGGAATCCAACCTTGCAGTGAGTGTCTGAGCGCGGGCTTATTTGCAGGATCAGTGGAGAGGTCCGCAAAAGTTCGCCATGCTCAATTTATTCTGCTCAGCGTGCTGAACGCCCACAGATCCGACGCATGTGCAGCAGAGTTGAACTCTTCGCGGCAGTCGGACTGTCCGCGCACAAACAGTCAAACCTGTGAGACCGAGCATCAGAGTACTCTACAGCTTTTTTTTAGAAGCATCGGAAACGCGGAAAACCTCCTGTAATATACTGAAAGCCTAAGACAAAACAGTATAAATACCGTACAGGAAGCCAGAGAGCTTTAGGGTTAGAAGAAGTACTCTGTACATTCCCTTACGCGGCAAGGCTTTATATAGTGTTGATGACTTCATGGCGCTGGACCCTCCCGCTGGTCTCTGATTGGCTAGTGCGCCCGCCAAGTTGCTGATTCAACTCAATCATATTTGATAGGCACTAATTGCATTAACCCTTTCATGCATGAATTATGGAAAACATTATCTAGATTTTTGTATGATTCTTTTTATTACTTTAATATGATGCTAAAATTGAAATCCATTTTCACTTTTACAAAATTCAGTTTTATTAAAAAATTATTTAACTGTCCACGTATGTGGACACCATGCAACAAAGGCGTAAAATGGGACATAAAGCCACAGCTGACAATATGGAATATTGTGTGTTTTTTAATGGCATGTTATGCTATTTATATAAGCTCAGTTATTAAAAACAATAATGTTACAATATAATAACAATAAAACACATATTGTAGGAACAATAACAGTAGTTACATATATGCGGAAACCTATTAGCAATATGGGCAAATCATGGAAAACATTCACTGCTGATTATTATTATTATTATTCTGATTATTATTATTCTGTACTGACTCCTTGACTTATGCTGTCCCTGTTTCGAAGGCAAAATGCTAATTTGTCTCCATATGCATGTGTAAAGTTGCCATTTAATGCTGTAATATGTCATTTTAAATGGTTATTTATGTTGATATATTTGTTAAATGTCTGTTTTATTACAATATAAGACAATTCATAACATCTTTGAAAAAATAGAATAGATATACTCGCAGGTTACAGAAATTAGATTTTGTGCAATCTGACTCCACTGTTGCATGACGTTGGTTTTTGGTGAATAAAAACTACATTTTACTCTAAATTTTAGATTATAAAATACTAACATATTCATCATACTTTACTGTACATACTAATATTTTTTTTACCTCAATTGACCTCCTTATATAAAAGTTTTTCACAGATATGCCTGGGGCATTTAGCACATGGCTATCGCTGTCAGCCATCTTGGATTAATGATGTCATAAAGCAATGAATATTTGGAATGCAAGATATTAGCCACTGTTACAATATTGCTGTCAATCTACTGACACTGCCCTCAAGTGGTTTGGAGAAAATTACCATCATAAATGAACCCTAAATGGAGTTAAATTAACTGTCCACAAATGTGGACACCATGCATGAAAGGGTTAATCAAATTAAATTAGACATAACTAAATAAATAAAATAATGACAACAGACAATGTCCTGGAAACCCCAAAATATCTGCATTCTGGAAGTTGAACTTTGTGTATTGATATTTCAGCAGAAAAGAAAGTATGTCTGGCCCATTCATAATACAGATTAATTATTGAAAGAATTAGGCTACTAATATTATGCTCAGATTACTGTATAAAAAAATTATAAAATAATAATAATAAATCCCTCTGAATTTCAATGGGTTTTTAGAATGGAGGTGTTTGATTTAGTGAAGCAATATAGGCTACTTGAAGATACATTCACATTTTTCTACAACATAAAATACAGTAATTATTTACAGCTAAATGCTAAAATGTTCGTTTTCATACATAATAGAGTGTTTGCAGTGATGACATATTTTTGTAAGGTTGGCACCACCTTTTGTCTCTCGACGAAAGACTTTTCCACTGGCTTTTTGATTATTGCAGAAAATAAGTTTTGTGACCAGCAGCAGTTTATGATTCTTACACATTTTGTTCATCACAGGGGCGTAGATTACGCGGGGGATGCGGGGGACGTGTCCCCCCTCACTTTTAATATCACGTAAATTCGTCCCCCGCACTTTTTCGGGCAAGTGTGTTCGCATAGAGGTTTTCAAGAGCCGGTGTGAATAAATATATATTTAAATTCAAAGAGACAGGATAGTCTGTGCATGATCTGATGTTTTATTCGGATCCAGAATAAAGCGAGATGAACATCATGGAGCGCTAAACACTCATGCAGTGTATGTTTCATTCATACTCGTAGCCGGAGGGCGCTCTCGCGCAGAAAGTCGTACGAGGAAATGGACAAAAGCGTCCAGCTATCGCTGTATGAAAACCGTTGTTTTCACAGAAAAAACAGAAACGTTTGGAAACATGAAGATATTAACCATACGATTGCGACAATACACAATATATGGTTTATTTGTGTTTGTCAAGTCATCTCCAGGTAATAAATACAGTATATGAACAATGCAGTGCTAACTGACATAGCATTTATTACAGTCTGTCCCCCTCACT